TCACGAGTTTAGAATACTGCCACGGGTAATACTAGCTGTACGTTAGGTCACGGTTATTACCAAAGACCACTTACTAAGCATTATTGATCATTTAAGTGTGTATTACTTTATATTGGATGTTGTATTTCCAGGAAGATCTTGACAAGGGAGAGCACTTAGCAGGAGTAGGAAGGGGTATTCAACTCTGATTTATAGAAACACGCACGTATACATTTCCGTTATGGGAATATATTTAAATGTTGCTATAAAACCTGGTTGACATGACTGTAGTGTCATTACTTAATTACATTGGCCAATTAAATACTTTGTTGACTAATTGAATGCCTGTTCGGTACAGAAGCAGCTGTTGGAGGAGGACCTCCTCCCCCCCGCCCCCCAAGGACACTGTGCAATTGCTTACTCATAATTAGATCAGGTTTGCTAAGCTAGCAGGTTTGTGCTTGTCCGAGAAGGTCCGCGGCCCATGCGTGGGGTGCAGTGAGGAGCCAGCAAAGAGTCCGGGGTGGAAAGAGACAGGCAAGGCGACAGACCTTCAGGGCTCCAGCCTTCTGTGTCAGATAATCGCATGGCTTTATGAATCTCTGCAGCAGTGGTTGAGTTCCTATTCAGTCATAGCACAGAAGCCACCGGAAAAGCAGCACAGGTGCACTTTGCAGACACAGTGCCGCCAACCCGTTCCTCTCGAAGGCTCTGTGTGCACTGCCAGCTCCCTCGGCTCCCGTTCTCCCTTCCTGCCCCGCAGGCTGGCCCCCCCCCCCCCCCCCCCGCGTGCTCTTGCCGAACCTGACCTCGGGTGGGTGGCCAGGGCCAGACACGCACTGACTGACTGCCCTGGTGCCTCTGTGCCGAATGATGCTCAGCCGTCAGACGCATGTCAGTGGAGCTCTTAGTCCTGGTCCCGCTCTCATCCCTCGGGCTGCCCTGTGTTCCTTAGCTCTTCTCCTTCTCCCAAGATTAGGTTTCTAACAGAAATTAGAGATGCGGCGGATATGAAGGAAAGTCGCGTTCAGATGCTCGAGGCTGACGAGGAGGACGACGCGGAATGTGACATGGCTGGCGGGGAGGCTTTGCTCTAAAATTCAGGGTTTTAGGTGCTCCTGGGGGGCTCTGACTCTCAGTTTCGGCTCGGGTCATGATCTCACAGTTTGTGAGTTCAGGCCCTGGGTCGGGCTCTGTGCTGACAGCTCAGAGCCTGTTTGGGATTCTCTCTGTCTGTCTGCCCCTCCCCTGCCCGCTTGCTCTCTCTCTCTCAAAATAAGTAAACGAACAAACAAACAAACTTAAAATCTAGGGATCTGGCCGTTTCCTATAAGCCTGCCCCAGAACCACAGAACGGAAAGAACGCCCCAGGTGACGGACTCTGCCTGCGGGAGATTCAGAAGATCACATCCAGACCGCACGGCAAACACCACAAGCGCCTGGATAATAAGACCCAGAAATCATGGCAGCTCAGAACACATTAGTATTATTCTGTGAAGATTCTGCACGTAAACGGTTGAACTTCGAGTGGTCGCCAGTAGAAAGTCTGGGATTATCTGGGATTCGTAGAAGAACGTTGGTACAGAAAGCAGCACCCAGTGACTCCTCATTGGTGTGAAGATGGTGGTACCATCGCTTGGTGAAGAAGCTGATGATAAGGATGGGGAAGAGTTGGAAGAGCAAAGACTGAGGTCCTGACTGAAGTTTTTAACAGTTTCCAAAGGAGAGGATTATAATTAAATAATTATAACTAGATCATATTATTTAAGGTCATTACCCTTGTTTAAAAACTACAGCAAGTATTCGGGAGGGGGGGCAAATTATCAAATGCTAGGAATTGTTCTAATTATTAAAGTAATATAGTGGTTAAAACAGAAAAATCCCTGTCCCGAATCGTCCACATATTTCTTTTCTGCTGATTATGTTAATGGCTTGATTGAAAGAATGGGTAAAAAAATAGTTAAAAGTAATGGATTAGAAAAATGTATTGCAAAAATAGAGATATATTTCTGTGACAAAAAGAAAAAAAATTATTTTGTGAATTAATTTGACAATTTCTGATGAAAAAGATCTCCGAAGAGACTGGATTCATAACTCACTCTATGTGAAACACAGTCCTAAATAGGCATGAAAATGTGAGAAATGTACTGCTTTCCTATAAATATTTTGCTAATAGTTATCTCACTTAAAATATATAATCACTAAAAGTCCTATTTCCCCCAGCAACGGGTAAGATGAATTGCACGGAGAGCTGCTAGGCAATTTGAATAAGTCAAGTTAAGGGTCAAGCTTCAAAGCAGACACGTGGGACATAAGGCTGTTGATGGAATGTCAGATTTGGTGAACTTTCCAGCAGAGTGACAGCTGGGGCTAATGACTGGAAGGGCGCAAATTGTCGGTGGGAATGTAGCAATTAGTCCCCGACTGCACTCCTTCACTCTTCTGATGTTTTTTTGAAGTTTGATATACTTAGAATGGCACTTTGGCAATATTAATTCAAAAGTAAGTCAAAAAATATTTATCGTGCAATGTGACGTTATGCTCATAGCAGCTTTTCAGTGTGAAATGTAACAAAGAATGAGCCTGTAACCCAAAGGCACTGTGAATCGAAATGTATTGATGATAACTTTTCTTCTAAGATTTTCTCATGAATACTGCTAACAGGGCGCTTTAGGAAACTTTTGCATCTGAAGCTCACGGTCCTTTCTGAGAGCATGTTCCTAAAAATAGATTCTGTTGTGTATAGAGGTGGGTGTGTTTGTGTGCAGTTAGCTCTCCATTGGAGGACCTACTGGATTTTGAAAACCAGATCATTTTTTATGGATCTTTTTTTAAGAAATCTTGTCCATTTTCAGAGTTAATGCCAATATTTTAAACATTGATTTCCCTGTGTTTTTGTTAATCACCGTACAGTAGATTAATTCTTAGCTAATTATTTTCATAGTAAGTATTGAACGACTGAAGAGTTGTCTACTCTCACCACATTTTTATATGTCAGCAACTATAGACACTGGCTGTGGTGCTGATGATAAGGGAAGGATGCCCTCCCAAGGTCAAGAAATTCACGGCCTTGTAGGACAGATAGATCTGTAAACGAATCATTACAATAAAGAACTATTATTGGGAATATGTGTGAATTTTGTTATTGTTACATCCATATAAATGGACAAGGAGTATATATTCCCTGGGGGCAGTTAGGAACAGCTCAGTTGCATGGTTTCCCCTGACTTGTCCACTGTAAGATGGCCCTTGGAAGTCAGAATCCTGCCCAGTTAATTCTGTGACTATGTCTCCCAGAATAATGCCGGATCTGGAGCGGGTGCTCAGCCAAGAAAAAGAACAAAGGCAAGACGGGTCATGATTAGGATTAATCTTTTATTGGGTGACAGTTTAATTGGTTTGTGTGATATGAAACCTTAGGAAAATGAACTCGTGCTTCTCTTACATTATTTCTTGTGAAATTAGTTTCTCTGCTCTTTTTTGCAAACCCAGTTTAAATTACTTTTTTAATGTTTACTTCTTTTTAAGAGATGATGGGGGTAGAGGCAAAGAGAGAGAGGAACAGAGGATCTGAAGTGGGCTCAGAGCTGGTACCAGTGAGCCTGATGTGGGACTCAGACTCACGTGAGATCGTGACCTGAGCCGAATTTGGACGCTCAACCGACTGAGCCACTCAGGCGATGCCCCCCCCCCCCCCAGTTTATATTATTATGTTTTTTTTTTTATTAAATTTTTTTTTTCAACGTTTATTTATTTTTGGGACAGAGAGAGACAGAGCATGAACGGGGGAGGGGCAGAGAGAGAGGGACACACAGAATCGGAAACAGGCTCCAGGCTCTGAGCCATCAGCCCAGAGCCCGACGTGGGGCTCGAACTCCCGGACTGCAAGATCGTGACCTGGCTGAAGTCGGATGCTTAACCGACTGCGCCACCCAGGCGCCCCTATATTATTATGTTAAGACTGGATTGCATTTCAAGCCCACATTTGATTTCTAAAAATTATGTGCCAATTTTTTTTTTAAAAACTCCTTTCTTAAAATGGAAGTCAGTTGAAATAGATATATTTTTAAAATTTTTAATGTTTATTTATTTTGAGAGAGAGAGAATGAACATGAGTAGGACTGGGGTAGAGACAGAGGGAGAAGGAGAACACGGAAGAGGGGCAGAGAGAGAGGGAGAGAGAGAATCCCAAGCAGGCTCCACGCTGTCAGCCCAATGCAGGGCTCAAACTCACAAACTATGAGATATGACCTGAGCCAAAATCAGGAGTCAGACGCTTCACTAACTGAGTCCATGCAGGCAACCCCTGAAATAGTTTTTTATATTAAAACCTCAGTAATGTCTGTTAGGTTATGTCATTTCTGCAGTTTGCTGGGTGGGTCTTTCGACGTAAGGTCATTTCTTTCCCCTTCTAGAGCCACCATTTCTATTTTCTTTCTTTAAATTGTCAACTACATTTTAATCTCCTGCTTGCCCTGTGCTGTAAGGAAATTTGTATAGTTGATTGTAGAGTAGAGTCTAAAGCTTGGAAGAGACTTTGGAGATGACCTGTGGTACCATCCGCGTTTAGAGTGGAAAGGACGAAGTTGTCATACCGCGTGGGGTGTGGTGGGGGCGGCAGGGAGGGTCTCTGGAGCCCCCCTGCACTGCACTTTCCCCTCTGTCTTACTGCGTCCGTGTGCAGCCAGAGGTATGTACGACTGTGTCTGAGTCAGACTGGGATTTGGGTGGGCTGATTTGATCTGATTTGGCATCATCCATGGCGATATCAGCGACAAGGTCACTCTTGTAACTCGTGAATGGTAACGCATTGGAAAATTTAATAAAGAGCTCGGGTTGGACATTGCCGAAGTCAGACGAGGATCCCCATGGCTGAGCACACTGCACTTGCCCACTTGAGTTCTTGAACCGCTTTTTATCATAATCAGTGAATAACTAATCTGATGTTTCATGTGCCTAGTTTGTCTTCACCACACACATAAAATGCTGAAGAAAGTAACACCATGTCTATGTATTTCTAGCTAGAACATGTGGATCAAATCTGCGTGGACCCAGCGGCATCATCACCTCCCCTAATTACCCTGTTCAGTATGAAGACAACGCTCACTGTGTGTGGGTCATTACCACAACTGACCCGGACAAGGTAAGGCCTCCCCCGTCCCCTCGGCGTCGCCGATGCTGTCAGTGCTCTGACTCGGACGGTGTTCAAGATCCACAGCCCTGTGAATGTGGGGCGCCCTTGCACTTTGCTGTTTGAATAGAAAGGCTCACGTTGCCTCCTGAGTACATATATCCACAGTTAGTGGGAAAAAGTCTAGGACTCAAACAGAAGGGGAGTTTTCCTCATTTGGTTGCCTCCTCCTGGTTCTGAAGGTTGGTCTATGTTCTCCACCCCCTGCCCCAGTTTTGTTGTGGTGTAATTGACATATAACATTAGGGTGTATAATATAATCATTCGATATATGTATATTTGGCAAAACAGTTAACATTCATCATCTCACATAGTTACCAATTTACTTTCTAGTTGTAAGAACTTTTAAGACCTATTCTGTTAGCAACTCTCAAGGATACAGTATAGTCCCTCTGAATGTAATGGAATATGCTGGCATCAAGAATGGCTTTAGGGGGGCATGGTGAAGCCCTTACCAGAATGACAGTGTGGTCCAGCCTCCCTTCCGGCACCCCCCGCCCCACCAGGGGCACCTACCCTACATCTGCGGTTCCTGCACCATTGTTAATAACGACCTTCTTTTATTCTCCAGATAGGTTCAGTTTGGAATAATATAAATATATAAATTCTCCCCACCTTGAATCAGGAAAGGGCCTCAGGAACCAGTTTTGGTTTTTTTTTTTTTTTCTTATGGGAAGAGATAATGAGTTTGGTTTTGGGCATAATGAGAGCGAGGTGCCTGCTGTATTTCATTCAAGCGGATATGACTGATAGCAGCAAATGTGGAATTCACAAGTGCGTTTTCTGCTGCCGAGATCTGGGATATGCATGATGTCATGTGGAGAAGCCAATAGAGACAAAGAGAGTCATGCTGATGGCGTATTTTTCTCTGGTGTCAGTGGGAGGGGGACTGGGGCTCCGCTGTAAGGAGTGAGAGGAGTTTTGCAGTTCTGAGTGTCAGGCGAAGAGCTGTAAAGTGTGGAAGTCCTTTGTATGGAAGGAGCAGGAGAGCCCTGCTGTGGTGATATGTCAGGCAGTGGCTGCAAGGTGAATCTTCAGTAAATCTGAGTAGCACCCGTACGGTATTCCAAAATTCATTTAGTTCCAGATTGCATATAAATAATCATGAATATTTTTTATACTACAGGTGCACCTATGTATCTGAGTTTCTTTCTTTCCCTCACATACTAGAATAACTGAAATCTCTATCTAGAAGGAAGCTTAGACTTCCTATTGTCTGTACCCTTCACCCCACAGACAAGAAACCGCGAGCCGGGGTATGTAAACTACTTGTTAAAGGTTTCCCGGCTATTTTGCTCCTACGGAAGGAGGGGAACATGTGTCTTACTGCACTGTGAAGGCACTTCATTACCTCTCTTTGTTAGAAGACTCATTTATTTCTGCAGCTCCGTGTTCCATTATCACTGTGAGGGGTGCCACGAGGAAACGAAATAATAGGTTATTCAGTGTGTCAATAGGATGTTTGGGGCTGTAGGTATGAGAAAAAGTGTTTAAGAAACATTATTTCACCTAACAAAAGGGGAGAGCCAGTGAGAGTCCAGATTTAATTCAGGAGCTCAGGAACATCGTTGAGGATTTATGTGTCTCGCCTCTTTTCTGCTCCACCATCCAGGGCAGTAATGATGCTTGCCCTGCCTCAGGTCACAAGATGGCTGTGGCGTAATCATGTTCGCTGAAGAAATGAGCCATGTCTTTCTAAAACATGGAAGGGATTTTCTAGAATGTCCCTAGTGGATTTCCCTTCAGTTCACCTGAGTCGAATGCCCATCTTCTAGCTCCTAGGGAGCCTGAGGAAAGAACCATCTGGAAGGCAGAAGGCAGGGCTGAGGATTATGGGAAACCAGTTTTGTCTACCACATGTACACAAGCAAAGTGTTGAAGAAAGAGATTTGGGTTCTCATCAGGTTCCTATTTTGTTTCTGGCACTTCAGATCCCATTATTTTCCTGTTTTGCCAGACTCCAGCAGGCTCACGTTTGATGAAATGCATGAGGTGTGTTCTTTGAGGATGTTTCAACATGGCCAAACTGCAAAATGATAAATGAAATAACGGACATATGCCATTTGGATTTACATAGTTCTCTCATTTTAGGGGTTTTGCTTTCCCAACTCATCTTTATGTGCATTCACATAGATTTTTCTAATGATCTTGTATAAATTTGGTTGACTGTAAACACTCAACAGTTAAATTACATTTCAGGAATCTTGTGTTATATCGCTTCAGTAAATTCTTTGCCTTTCTTCGTTTATTTTGGTGAAATGTTCACAGAAGAAACAGGACATTCCAGGTTGATGCACTCGTGCACACCAATACTCTTGCTAGAGCACCACTTAGACACCTGAAGGCATCTCAATTAAGCAGAATTACCATCCAAATTAAGAAGCAGTCATTGCCATTAAGTATAATTAGGCTTAATTTGATTCCTTGGGAGACATTCCAAATAAGGGGGTTTCCCGATTAAGCACATGGTGACGAAGGTATATTACATACTGAGCATAAGAGAGGAGAATGGTTATATAAAGATTCCCAGACAGACTCTTGCTAGAAGCATTAGAGAGAGTCCTAGATAAGAAGTGTTGGTGTACTCAATCTGTACATTTTTTTTTTTCAACGTTTATTTATTTTTGGGACAGAGAGAGACAGAGCATGAATGGGGGAGGGTCAGAGAGAGAGGGAGACACAGAATCGGAAACAGGCTCCAGGCTCTGAGTCATCAGCCCAGAGCCTGATGCGGGGCTCGAACTCACGGACCGCGAGATCATGACCTGGCTGAAGTCGGACGCTTAACTGACTGCGCCACCCAGGCGCCCCTCAATCTGTACATTTGACGTGACTTGCAAACCTTTGAGAAATAAGGTGGAATAGAAAACAAAAATCAGTTTCTAATGTCACTTGGAGATTAGTTGATAAACTCCTCTTTTGTTGAAACATTAATCTCCTCTTAATGATTTAGTCTTTCCTGGTCTTATATTTGCTCTCACTGTTATATAACCAAGTGACATGTGTCAATTTATGCGAGGCATTAACATAAAATTGCTTATACAAGATAATTATCATAGGAAGCTCAGTGGCTAGTAGCAATGAATATTATAATTTGTCATATTGTGTAATATCATCTTAAAAAGAATACGAGAAACATATTTATAAATACACACACACACACACACACACACACACACACACACATACATACATACATATATGGACACCTGAGTGACTCAGTCCATTCAGCATCCAACTTTAGGTCATGATCTCATGGTTCGTGAGTTCAAGCCCCATGTCGGGCTTTGCTCTGATGGTGTGGAACCTGCCTGGGATTCTCTCTCTCTCTCCCCCTCTCTCTCTACCCTTCCCCTGCTCACACGCTCTCTATCAAAAATAAATAAACACTTTAAAAAATTTTAAAAAAATATGTAATTTTTAAATTATATTAAGGTGATGTACGTTATTATTGAATATATAACATATTAACATATTACCCACTATATATTAAATAATATATTAACTATAACTAATAATTATAAAACAGTTTAATACATATATATATATATATATATTTTTTTTTTTAGGAGACCCTGTTATGTAATGTGTTCTAGGTAGAAATTAAAAAGAAATTTTCCTCAAGATTCAGTTTAGCAGAGAAGCAGATTTCTAAACAGCCAAGTACAACTGCTCCTGCCATACTAATCTAGTAAAAATCCAATAAAAATTAATTCAATAAGGAGATACTTATTTAACATAGATCCTTGTATATGCATTCAACAACTCAGCATTCTCAGATAAAACTTGTGACAAGTTGTGTGACCAAATTCTTGAGAAAGTCATATATGGTTGATGAGTTATAGATAAGAGGAATTACCAGCAAATGCTCTCAAAAGTTCATCCCTGTGGTTTCCATTGGGAAGGTGAAGGGCAGACAGCTTTCCCTGGAAGCTTTGCACGGACACAGGCGGCATATGTCTGTGTATGCATATGTATACATGTACTTAACATACACAGATTTATATCTCAAATGTGCTTCATGGCGACATAATTTTAGTACCTGATTTTAAGTTGATCTCCTTGGAAAGCATTTTGTTACTGTTGAACTCCTTGAGGATTTCAGTGATTGTAAGCATTTGAACTTTGTTCAGGCTTCTAAGACAAAATACCGCAGATGGGGTAGCTTAGAAACAAAGAGTTCCAGAAGCTGACAGTCTGAGATCTGGGTGCCAACATGTGAATACCCTTGTATGGAACATGGCATCAGTGTGAAGAACCTAGAACACTGTCTGCCCAGTGCTCCGTGCCTCCCCTCCCCCCCTCCCTCCCTCCCTCCCTGTCCGTCCTCCTCCCCCTCCTCCCTCCCCCTCCTCCCCCTCCTCCTCCCCCTCCTCCCTCCCCCTCCTCCTCCTCCCCCTCCTCCCTCCTCCTCCTTCCCCTCCTCCCCCTCCTCCCTCCTACTCTTCCTCCCTCCCCCTCTTCTCCCTCCTCCACCTCCTCCCTCCTCTCCATCTTCCCACCTCTCCCTCTTCCCCCTCCTCCCTCCTCCCTGCCTTCCTCCTCATCCTCCTTTTCTTCTCCATTGCTATTATTAATGACTACATTTAAAGAGCTGTAAATCAGACCCTGAAGGACAGGTAAAGGGTTTAAGTTTTGTGCTAATGACAGTGGGTGTCAAGATACAGAGGAAAAGAATGGCATTGCCATGTATATGTCTCAGGTCACTCTGTCAAGAGTCAGGTGGGCACAGTTGAAGGACTCACGATTGGAAGCAGAAGACATCAGGGTTTTGGTACAATTGTGAAAGATCATATGAGCCTCCATCGGGACAGTGGTGTCAGGATTGGAGAAGAGGAGATGAATTTGAGAGGAATTTAGGGACTAGGTAATTAGATACAGCGATTTACACATTTATATCACACCTTCTATTAAATGCACAACTCGTACTATCCAAAGAAAAAATAAGAAGT